CTAAAAATAGATGTGAGTTATGTATAGAAATGGATGATTATTCTCCTAACATGGTTCAGTCAAAAATGTTTAAAGTTCTACTTTGGATAGAAAGATCTTGAGATGGAATTATTTCCAATGTCTTGTCCTACATACATGATTTTTAAAGGATTTCTCGCAGAAACACTTGTGAGATAAACATTCTGACCTTTATTGAATATGCTTGTGCCTTATAAGCTATGCGTAACAATGAAAAAGTATTGAGTACAAGCTTCACATGGATTTGTGTTGGAAGTGAAAGCACAGTGTGAGCAAAATCAGGTTTTCATACACTTGTTAAAATCCAAGTATAGACTGTCCTTTTTTTTTTTTGTCTATTTCATGTCAAACCCAGAACATATCTCCAATATGTTTCAAATCCCATGAGGATTTAGGTATTTAAGTACGACAAAAATGAACAGAAACAGAATTGATTAGAACCTTGTCAGTGGTTTAAGGTCACTCTTTGTACGCACCTGGAATTATGTTCGTTGCTCTTTGTAAGATAAAGCACTGTGTCTTACTATTGGCATCAATACATTTCAAGCAGCTAACAGCCAGATCTTTATAGTTCACAGTATTGGCTAAGCAACGTCCTCTTTAACCTTATTGAATATTCAGTGAGATCCTGCTGTAGACAGCCAGGAAATAATTCACAACTCGATACATTAATAATCTCCGGACACTAGTACTTGACAAATATCTTAAGTCATTTGTTATGTTATACTACTTACAAATATTAAATGCATTTATTATGGAACAAGCCATATGGAGCAATCATAGGGTGTTTGCCTAGCTATATTATTGTGGGCAGCCCCATATGGCATAACAATGGCTTGTGTGGCCCTCAGCACACACCATTGCTACCACAGAACCACTCTTTAAATGTTATATATGTAGCGAAATGTGGTCGCTCTACAAGATTTATTCCCCTTTGTTCGGCTGTCCATACCCCCCTGTTTGGTTCCCGAATGGAAGATGTGTGGTCCCCCTTTTTATACCCCCTCCCCCCGATCACCAACCTCCTCTGGCTGTTAACCACAAATGAGCAATTAGCTGAAGATCTTTCCCTGGGTGGTCACTATTTGTATACCCAAACACACGTGCTCTAGGGAATGGTGGCCATTTTTTGTCTCCTGAATGCAGGTAGCGGTACATGGTCGTCGAATGTGTGGAACTCTGGGCAGGCTACGTGATCCCTAGAATGCTGGGGAAAGCTGTACTGCTACCTGTTCAGCTTCTAGACAAGTTAGGAGAATGGCGTTTGGGAGAAAGGAACTACCGACTAGGAGGAGCATTCGCTCCCTGAAAGCCAGGGGGAGCATTTGTCAGTGTTCGCACAGAAACCCCCGAAAATAGACTGTCCGTTGCATCTTTTCCTGTGTAACTATTTAAAGCTAGTACCCCATGGCTGGCCGGTCAGAACTTTACCTGAATTGGCTATTCCAAAGGGATCTGGCCGCTATTTGGATTACTTGGGCACTCAGATCTGGGCTATACAGGGATATAACATTTGTGGGGTTCCTGTATATCATGGATATATTTTTGGGGTATTTTGTTTAATTTTGAATTGTTTTTTATAACTGAAAGATAATTGAGTTATCCTTTCCTTGAATCAATTATCTCTCAGACACAGAGATACCTGGGAGGGGTTTGTATTCTATTCTATGGAGACCCCATGCTGGGGGTCTGTAAATAAAAGATCGAGACATAATAAAACTCAGTTGACTCCCAGAACTATGTGTCATCTAGTTACTGGGGGGAAAGAGTTATAATCACAACAGTGTTTCTTAAAGCTTCGAGGAAGAATCAGTGGAGATGTCTAGTTGGGGTATCGGAGCTCCACTACAATATAAAACCCAAATATATGGCTATCATAGGACAATGTAAATACAGTTTTAATGAAGCTCCATACTACAAGCAGAAATGTTTTGACCTTATAATGAGGTATTTATCAAGCTTGATATGAAGTGTTATTGCTAGGATTGCGTGGTATATCTACTAATTGTTAAAAAGTAATAACAGATATGCTGTGTTGATTATTAAGAGAACTGCACATGTTCTTTCCTAAGTACTTGTGGGGCTTCAGCCAAGGGCATTTTGGCAACTTTGGGACACATCTCTCTATACCATTGATGGCGAACCTTTTTGAGCCCGCATGCCCAAACCGCAATACATGCCAACTTTTCTTTCCTTAAAGTGCCAACATGGCAATTAAACCTTAATACTGAGGTTTAAGTTTAGAAAAAACAACTCGTCCTGTTGTCCGAACTAATTAACAACTTTTGTTTTAAAAGAACACAACAGAGAGTTAAATGATACAAATTTTAAATAATGATATAAATAGATAAAATTAAGCTTCTATTTATTAGTATCTCCAACAAATGCAATACATACACACGCACAGACTGCTGAATACAGAGACTGAAGAATACACACACACATGGGCGTCCGCAGGAATTTTTCCAGGGGGGGGCATAATTGTAATGACATCCATGCTTGGTACCTTTTTGACAGTGTCATGAAAGGGAAGGGGCATAGCCATTATCACATAAAGCCAGGGTGAATAGCGTTTTCACAACTATGGTGTCAGGAATATATGTTTGTATTCCTGACACTATAGTGTTCCTTTAAGCAAATTAAAGGACCATTCTGGTCACCATAACAACTTCACCTAAATGAAAATGCTATGATGCCAGGAAGCCCCTGGGTGCTCGCTTTCCTTTAAGGGGTTAAATCACTCTCAAATGGTTTAACCCCAAAGGCTTCCTCCAGCTCCAGGTCGCTCAGTGGTATTTGGCTTCTGAAACAGAGTGTCAAGAAGTGCAGATTGACGTCAGGCATGGGTGCCGCTGATTGGCTAGAGTGGACAGTTGACGCTCTAAGCCAATCGTTAGTTCCCGGTTCATAAAATATTTGTACTTTTTTATGAATGGGGAGCTACTGATTGGCTTAGAGTGCCAGCTGACCGCTCTAGCCAATCAGCAACACCCCTACTCAACGGCACTCTGTGCTTCCTGACACTCAGTAAACAAAAGTGAACACATTAATACTGACATTTTTTTACCTTTGGAGATGAGAAGGTCCAGCGTTTCCCTGCCAGGCCCAGGTACCAAAGCCTTATGATGTGGTGTCCAGAATAAAGTGGAGGGTTCACTTCATTTGTCCTTCCTGCTCCAATCTCCTTCATTTGACAGTCTTTTTTTATCTTCTGACACTGTTTTCTATCCTTGGCCCCTTCTGCTATTTTACCTTTCTGCTTATTTTGCACCCTTCTGCTCCTTTCTCATTCTGATCCCTTTCTGCTCCTTGCTGTCCCTTTCTGCTCCTTCTCCCACTTTACCTTTGTGCTCCTTCTGATTCTTTCTGCTCCTTTACCTTTGTGCTCCTTCCTGCTCCTTGCAGGCCCTTCCTGCTCATTCTCCTATTTTACCTTTGTGCTCCTTCTGCCCCTTCCAGCTCATTTCTGACCCTTTCTGCTCCTTCTACTTTACCTTTGTGCTGCTTTACCTTCCAGCTCCTTGCTGACCCTTCCTGTTCATTTCTGTTCCCTTGTGCTCCTTCTCCTACTTTACCTTTTGTGCTCCTTGCTGTCCCTTCCAGCTCCTTGCTGCCCCTTTCTGCTCCTTGATGTCCCTTCCTGCTCATTTCTGTTCCTTCTCCTTTTCTTACTTTACCTTCCTGACTCTTCATGTAGGCTGTCTCCCCCATCCCTCACTTCCATAGGCGTGCACACGGGGTGTGTCGGGTGTGCATGGGCACACCCTAATCCCCGCGGCACGCCAATGGATTGAGACCGGCAGTGGAGATCTCTGACGCTATCCAAGCGGTGGCTCTGGTCTAAGCCTCCATGGGCCGGTGAGGAGATCAAAGTTCTACCTCACCGGTCCACAGCAGCATGGAGAGAGGCAGCAGAGAACCCGGGCTAGAGTTCACTCTCCACTGAACCACCAGGGAAGGCAGCAGGACTGGAATATTAACTAATCTGCCCCCACCTCCACCCAAACATACAGCACACACACACACAGCACCTACACACAGCACACACAGCCCACAAACAGCACCCACACACATACATACATCACCCTCGCACACACAGCACCCACACACACCCAGCACACTAACAGCATCCTCACAAACACACAAACAGCACCCTGACAAACACACAGCACACAAACAGCACACTAACAGCACCCTCACAAACACGCACACACAAACACCCTCTCACACACACACACACAGCACACTACCAGTTCCCTCACACACCGCACACAAACAGCACCCTCACACACAGCACACTAACAGCACTCTCACAAACACACACAAAAACACCCTCACCCATATAGCACACTACCAGCACCCTCACACACACACACACAGCAGTGTATATATATATATATATATATATATACATACACACATACTACCAATTCCCTCACACACATGGCGTGTGTCTGTGCTTTAGGTTGCACACCCTAATGCAATAGGCTGCGCACGCCTATGCTCACTTCCCTAATCTATAGGCTGCCCCCCCCATGCCTCACTCCCCTAATCTATAGGCTGCTGCCCTCCCCCAGCCTCACTCCCCTAATCACTCCCCTAATCTATGGGCTGCTGCCCCCCCCTCCCTCACTCCCCTAATCTATAGGCTGCTGCCCCACCCCCCCAAATCTATAGGCTGCTGCCCCCCCAAATCTATAGGCTATCTCAAACCCTCCCCCCATCCCTCACTCCCCTAATCTATAGGCTGCTGCCCCCCCAAAAAAATCTATAGGCTATCTCAAACCCTCCCACCATGCCCTACTTACCTGATCTGTAGGCTGTCTCTGGCTGCATGTGTTGCTCCCCTGCGGTTTCAATCAGCAGAGAGAAGCAGGGATAAGATGCAGCTTCCTATCCCTGTCTCTCTCCATACACAGCGCCACCTACTGGCCGGCGCCGGTATTGCAGTTCATTTTATATCACACAAAATAGCAGAACAAGCTGAAAAATCCAGGGGGGGGCAAGTGCCCCCCTTGCCCCCCCCTGTGGACGCCCATGCACACACACACAGTCTGAATACACATACAGACAAACTGCTGAGTACACACACAGTCCGCTGAATACACACCCACACACAGTCCGCTGAATACACGCACACACACAGACTGCTGAATACATGTGCACACACACAGACTGCTGAATACATGTGCACACACACAGACTGCTGAATATACACACATACTGCATTGAGGGGTGTAGTGTATGTGTTTGTGTGTGGGGTATTTTGTGTGTGTGTGTGAGGGGTGCTGTGTGTGTGAGTATATGAGGGGTGGTGTGTGTGTGTGAGGGGTGCTGTCTTTGTGAGTATATGAGGGGTGGTGTGTGTGTGTGAGGGGTGCTATGTGTATGAGGGGCGCTGTGTGTGTGTATGAGGGATGCTGTGTGGGGGGTAGATGTGCTGTGTGTGGGGGGATAGTGTGAGGGTGCTGTGTGGGGGTAGGGTTGCTGTGTGTGGGGGGTAGGGGTGGGGATGCTGGATGGAGGGAGGGAAGCTGGGTGTGGGGGAGGAGGGATGCTGGGAAGGGAGGGATGCTGGGGAGGGGTGCTGTGTGGGGGTAGGGGTACTCTGTGTGTGGGGGGTAGGGTGTAAAGGTGTTTAAAAAAAAAAGTATGCTAAATCAGTACCCACCTTCTTACCTTTAATGAAGGAGGGGGACACAGCATCCCTGGTGGTCCGGTGGTGGCAAGCACTGCTTCCGTGTCGGGAGGCGAGGGGGGGGGGATCTGCGAAGCAGCTCCCCTGTCCTCCCGCGAGCAAGCTGTGTGGAGTGTTGCCATGGTAATGCGCGGTAACGCGCCACACAGCTTGCTCGCGGGAGGACAGGGAAGCTGCTTCACAGATCCCTTCCCCTGCCTCCTGACACAGAAGCAGAGTAGGCGCCTGCCGTTTTGGGCAGGCAGGTGCCTACTCTGCATTGATGGCGAACCTATGGCCACGTGCCCACAGAAAGGGCCTGGCCTGCCACCTGTGGCACGTGTGCCATAGGTTCGCCATCACTGCTCTATACAATAACTCCTAGTGGAGACTTTGATTGGACGTCCTAGAAGTCAGCCACTTTCAAGCCTGCTTATAAGGGTTATTCTAATCCCCTATCCAGCAGATATATATACTATAGACCCTACTATGATTTGAGTTGAGGTCACTATGAGATTTTTTTAGGGAGGACTTACCCTTAATCTTTACATAAGTGGCTCGGAGGATTAGTATGATCCCCCTCCTCTTGTACTGTTTAAATTATTTCCCCACTTTCCCTGTTATTACTTTTTAACAATTAGTAGATATACCACGCAATCCTAGCAATAATAAAGGTATTTTTCATAATTAAGCAATTGGATTAGCTGTGGCATAGTATTATGTAGTGTTATCTTCCTTTATCACACTTTAATTCGGCACATGGGGGACTTGATCTAATTAGTTTACAACTCTATACAGGAGTGTCATTCCAATACTTTGGTTCCCTTTGGGAATATTTACTATTGTTTTTGCAGACAGGGTCAGTCCCTTTTATTGGAAGACACAAGGACCTCACCTTATCTGTTCTCTTGTCTCTAAGGTTGTGATACATACTGGAACTCTACTGGTATTCTACAGATTTCTCTATAGACTTCCCCCAGTTAGTACATTATTTCCCATATATGAGATTAGGGTAGATGTGATGTTTTGAAGACTGTATCTGAATATCCAAGCAAGGATGGGTGGTTTCCCTCCCATAAAATGTTGAGTTTATCCCTGAATCCCCTTGTGTCAGACTCTGAAACCTATGATTGATACAATATCACATCATCTTACAATGACATATGTGAATCAGTGATAATTTTAGAGGCAAATTTGAATTTAGTTTTAGTCATAGTCTTTTGACTAAAAAGTCATTTTAGTTTTAGTCGTATTTTAGTCATCTGAATTGTTTTAGTCGACTAAATCTCCAGTAGACTAAGATTGAATGGGTTTAGTTAAAGCCTCTATCTGTCCATCTCTATGTCTAACTCTATATGCCCCTTCCCCAGCTCCTCTGTGTCTCTTTGTGTTCTCCTTCTAAGTGTCTCTCTCCCAAGTCCTGGTCTGTCTCTTTTGCCGTTTCCACAGCTCCTCTGCGCAGTGTTAATATTGGCGGCAAAATGTAATCTAATTTTAGTCATAATCTTTTGGTTTTAGTAGTATTTTAGTCATCTGAATTGTTTTAGTATTAGTCGACTAAAATTTGAGTAAAATTGTTAGTTGAAAACAATTAACACTGATGAATATGGGTCTTCTTTATATTCATGTTTTATATTCATGTTTTAAGTAAATATATATATATATCTCAAACCTTGATGTCCTCCTAAGAAACATCTCTGCCATCTCTCAAAATGTATTCAAATTAGCTGAAATTAATATCTGCTAGAGAACTTTTCTAAAGCCTAAATTTCATTCATATGGGTCAGCCTTAAAATGATACAATGTGTTGGAAAAACATTTCCATTGAATTACCTAAAAAATTCTCATAGATGTCAGGAGGTACGTCATTTCAAATATTTAAAGGGACACTGTAAAAGGACACTATAGTCACCAAAACAACCTTAGCTTAATGAAACAGTTTTGGTGTATAGATCATGCTCCTGCAGTCTCACTACTCAGTTCTCTGCCTTTAAGGAGTTAAATCACTTTGTTTATGGACTCTAGTCACACCTCCCTGCATGTGACTTGCACAGCCTTCATAAACACTTCCTGTAAAGAGTCATCTAATGTTTATCCATCCTTTATTGGAAGTTCTGTTTAATTTAGATTTTCTTATCCCCTGCTATATTAATAGTTTGCTAGACCCTGCAAGAGCCTCTTGTATGTGATTGAAGTTCAATTTACAGAGCAAGAGATACAATTGGTTAAGGTAAATTACATCTGATTGAAAGTAAAACAATTTTTTCATACAGGCTCTGTCAATCAGATCCAGGGGAGGTGTTGCAAGGGCTGCATAAACAGAAACAACTTGATTTAACTCCTAAATTGCAGAGAATTGTGCAGTGAAACCTGAGAGGTATGATCTATACACTAAAACTGCTTCATTATGCTAATGTTGTTTAGGTGACTACAGTGTCCTTTTAATCATTTGAGAATCTTATCCAAAAGAAATAAAACAAGTCTAAATGATTTACATACAAAACTTCCCATAGACCTTATTTGATGGTGACTTCTGCAGAGAAATCATTTGATTTAAAATTTTTGGATAATCTTATGAAATATGTTATATTTTGAAAAATATTTTAAAATTTTGATTTTTTTTGATAAATAAATATATGTATATATGATTTGACATTTTAATATTTTGAAAACATAACTTTAAAAGTGTTCCTAAAACATTAAATCATTTGAAAATCGTATCAGAATGTATTATATTGATGCCGGCTATTTTAGGCAAAAATGTGAAATAAATTTTGAATTCACTCTAAATCCCTCACCTCCGTTCGTGAATAAATCTGTATAGCTCCGATTAACCATTTATTGCTTGGAATTTATTATGTTACTGTGTAAAAGTAAAGTTTTATATATTTTTTTTTTTTAAAGTAAACAAATTCCATTGAAATAATTCTATCTTAAATAAAATGTTATCAAGTATGTATAATAAAACCACAACCTTTAAAATGATTCGCCAACTTAAAAACCGTGATATAAATCAGTATTGTACAACGCTGATGTATACTTTGTGTTAACATTTTTTTTTTTCAATAAACTGTGGTTTTACAAACCATCGTTAATATTCCTGCTTTTTGCATCTAAATATTATTCTGGTATCTGATATGCATTATGCCAATGATTCTGCATGCAATAACGTTACAGCAAGCTCAGCATTTGTGATCCGTTATGACCCATTGAACGCTGGAAGTCTGTTTACATTCACATCTTTAGTTTTAAACTCGCGTAGACAGAATTATAGGTCAAAATAATACACTTGAGATTCTTAAACACAGACATCATCTTACACTAATAATGCAATGGAAAATCTCTTCAGTCGGGTACACACTTGTTATCATCAGATCTTCAAGTAAACCAACATTTGAGAAAATGCACATCTTGAAGTACGTCGGTTTACTCAGATGAGACTCCGGAAAAGAATACTTTGAGTTTTGCTGATGCCTAAGAGTCTGTGTGTTCCTTTACCATTGCAGATGTTTGTAATACTTTCCCAAGCACATCTAAATATGGTTATCATCGAGCCTGTGATAATCTCTTGCAGCCCTCGAAGACCTTGTGCTAAATTATGTACCTATTCAATAACACAGACTTCCTACTAGCAGGCCGGATTAACTGTTCTAGTTGCTGAGACTCCCACCGTACAGAATGAGTGTTCAACAAAATTACTGTGTGCGTATTTAATAAATAGAAAGTGTATTCACAGGATCAGTGATACTCAAATATTATCTATCCGTCACGTTTGCTGCAGAGTTCATCCAGATTGGCCAAATTCAGATTGAAACTAACATTAGAAAAGTGTCTACTGACATAACAAGAGGAGTTGTGATCACTTTCAAAATTTTCTTGAGAAAATTTTCCCTGGTGCTAAATAATTAAAATGAAAAGGCATGGCAGAATGACAAATATTCCCTTCTTTCCACCTAGGCCATTGAAGACTCGGGTTTTATCAACTTTACCCAATTTTAAAGAAACTATAGCATTAGGAATACAAACACGTGTATACTATAGTGTTCTCCTCACTAGTTAGGTGCATCTATCCTAGCTGTCTACTGGTCACTTAGCGCTGATCCAACAACAATTTTTCCCTCAGGTGATAGCTGCTGTATGACCACTAGTAGCAATGTCTATTTTCAAATTTAGGAGTAATTATACCATAGACATTAATCATGCTTTTGACACTAACAACAGTGACTTAATCTATGAAGATCATCCATGTTTAAACCAACAAGAATTATTTCGAAAATTAGAAAAAGCTTTATCCTCTGAGATAAAATTAAAATGGGAGATTGCGACTCTCAAAAAGTATATAGAGGAAAGGATAACTCCTAGGGGCCTCAGATTGCACAAACTACCGACCTCGGATCAAGATGATGAGAAATTCATGAACGATTTTTTTAACACTGTAACGGAGCTCCTTGTACTCCGACTGAGTACCCTCCGTTGACGGATGCTCCTAGCGCTTCCTGAGGACTCCAAGCACTGCAGCAGATACCACAACCACCGCAGACTCCGCAACCGGACTGGTAGTCTCACCGTCTTCCTTCCACCCTGGATCAGCTTCTGTCCTCCAGGACTGTGTGGGAAAGAACTCTTCCTTCCACCCTGTATGAACCTCCAGCATCCAGGACTGTGTGGTGAAGACCCCTCCTCCAAGGAGAGCGTGTCAGGAACAAGCTCTTAAAAGAGCTAAGTGACTCAAGCTCAGGGGAGCATGCAGAGCATAGCAATCCCCAGTGTGATTATAACAGCTCCCTCCAATAACGAGACAAGGCTACGTTTAGAGGGATCAAGAAGAACTGTCAAAACCTTTATTTCCCTTGGGACCAGCCAATAGGGTCACCACAATAACATTGTTGTGAAACCTCAATAAAATCACAAACAGTCAAACCATATCAAGCAACACACAGTGACTTATCACAACACAATGGCACATTTTTAAAGGGGTGGGGGGAGACAATATTTAACAGTAAATATCTCACCTGCCTGCAGAATTAGCAATATGCAAATCTACCCGAATATGCAAATGAACCAGTCTTGCAATTCAGGTAGTGCATATTGCTGTTGCTACCAACAGAGGGCACTAGACAAGCTCCATAGCCAAACCCACCTAGTTGGTAGCAAACCTCAGCAATACAAGAGAGCAGGCAATACATTACACAGTACACACACACACACACTATAAACAATTACATTACACACACCCTGCACCTATAATGGGTACAGGGTGACTAAAACATAAGATAAATAAAGCAGCCTACATAAATAGTCTGTCTGAAGATAGACTAGGGGCTTTAAAGCCAGATACATGAAAGAGTCATAGTCACAGGGGAGGAGGCTGGCAAGTAGGCCTCTCCAGGACCAAGTGGCGAAGGGCACTTCGTCACAAACACATTGGAAGTATTCACTCTAGAACTCATGAAACTCTAATTATATAAAAAAAAAAAAAGCAAAAATCCTTCGAAATTCTATCCTTCTAATTTTAAATCAGGTCCCATTGAGGTTTTCGAAAAACTCGTTTTAAAAGACTTTGATAAGATTAAACACAATAAATATGATCACTGTAACCTATCACAGAAAGAATGGAAAGCCTTAAAAGAATGACAAAAATACGAGGATATTGTAATCAAACCCGCTGATAAAGGTGGTGGTTTAGTTATTTTGCCTAAAGATATGTATATAAAAGAGGCCAATCATCACCTTGATGACACAGAGGTGTTTGAGAAATTATCCCATGACCCCACCCTTAAGATAAAAGCCACACTACAAGAATTTCTTACAAAAGGCCTCAATTCCAGAATTCTAAACAAACAAGAATTTGATTACCTTAACATCCCCTTCCCCCTTCCCCAAAATGCCAGTGTTATATTTTCTACCCAAACTACATAGGAATGAAAAATAACCCCCGGGGAGACCAATAGTGTCTGGGATTAATTCAATGTTGACAAATCTCTCAGAATATAGATATTCTGCTATTCAAACGTATGAGATACTACCTTAAGGATTCGATGACCCTTCTAAGATTTTTAAACAATTTTACTTGGTATCAAGATTATATCTTGGTCACATGCAATGTCCAACCTTTGTACACTATTATACCGCATAACATAAGATGTGAAGCAGTAGAAAATATTTAAAAAAAAATAAAATTTAATCCCAGAGTATCAAATCTATTTTATCTTAGAAGGTATAAGGATTATTTTAATGAATAACTATTTCTGTTTTTCAGATTCTTTTTACAATCAAGGTACAGCTATGGGAACTAGGTTTGCCCCCAGCTATGCTAACCTCTTTATGGCCGAATGGGAGTCCTCGGCCATTTGGGGGGGATCATGCCTGGTGGGCAAACCTATTTTCCTATTTTCAGTACATTGATGATATGTTTTTTATTTGGCAAGGTTCAGAATCCACTCTAGAAGAGTTTTTAAACCATCTTAATGATAATGATAAAGGTATTATTTTAACTTCAGAGTATAGCAATGTATCAGTCAACATTTTAGATCTTAACATTTTTATCAAAGATGGACTCATTCAAATGAAAACTTTTTTTAAAAAGGTATGCACTAACACTATAATTGATCAATCCAGCTGCCACTATAAGCCTTGGCTAGACGGTATCCCTAAAAGTCAATTCCTCTGTCTTCACTGTACCTGCTCCCAAACTAATGACTTTATAACACAATCCACATCATTAAAAAAATATGTTTATCGAGAAAAATTACCCTTCAGATAAATTAGATGCAGCTCTTAATGTGGTCATTAGCAAAGAGAGGAAAGATTTGTTAGAATACAAAAGTAATAGTGATAAAGAAAAAGACACTACCCATCATTCTAGATGTTAATAGTAAAAACAAAGTAATGAAAAAGATAATAAATAAACATTGGCATATCCTTAAACAAGATGATCTCCTAAAGGACCAAATTCCAGACAGACCTCATATCATATTTAGAGGAGCCCCTAGTTTCAAAAGTATTCTTACTAGGAACTACACTCAAAAAAAAAAAACATAAAGAACACCAAAAGTTCTCCAAAAACCAAAACCTAAAGGTTTCTTCAAGAACACTGGTGAGACCTCACTTGGAGTATTGTACACAGTACTGGAGACCGTATCTTCAGAAGGATATTGATACCTTAGAGAGGGTTCAGAGAAGGGCTACTTAAACTGGTTCATGGATTGCGGGATAAAACTTACCAGGAAAGGTTAAAGGATCTTAACATGTATAGCTTGGAGGAAAGACGAGACAGGGGGGATATGATAGAAACATTTAAATATATAAAGGGAATCAACACAGTAAAGGAGGAGACTATATTTAAAAGAAGAAAAACTACCACAACAAGAGGACATAGTCTTAAATTAGAGGGACAAGGTTTAAAAATAATATCAGGAAGTATTACTTTACTGAGAGGGTAGTGGATGCATGGAATAGTCTTCCAGCTGAAGTGGTAGAGGTTAACACAGTAAAGGAGTTTAAGCATGCGTGGGATAGGCATAAGGCTATCCTAACTATAA